AGGAGTATTGGCCTAGTGAGGAAGCATCTGACTTTGGAAGGTGGTGATTGTTGGTATGGAGAAATGCATTCGAAAGAGGAGCCAGCTCTTTCAGTACTTTGTAAATAGAAGCATCTTAAGAAATGTGTGTGTGGATTTGAATTACTGGAGAGATAGGACAGTGGAGACCTCCAGAGAGGAGCTTCCCTGCGGTGAGAAGGGAGTATTCTCCGTTGCTTTCAAATAAATAAATCAAGTGCCTGCTGATGTCTTTGTAAGGAAATGCAGTAGTTATGTGCATGTGCTCAGATACGGCAGTACAGTCTTAGAACTAGTATGCTAGGGTCAGGCTTGCACAGTGGGAATGCCAGGTTCCTAGCTGTGGGGAGGGCAGACTGGAGAGGGGAGAGCCTTGGAGGTGGGAAGGACGGATCAGGAGGTTCACCATGGTTCAGGTGCCAGGGGAAGACTGAACTACAGTGATCTCCACGTAGGTGAGGGATGTCAGTGTCAGCAAGGGAACGGACGAAAGGGACGGCGTAGAGGAGAGCTGATGAGATCTGGCCACTGATTGGACAGGGTGGTGAAGAAGGGTGAAAGAACAGGGCGATTCACAAGAGGGGTATGTATGGGGGGGGTGGGGAATGAGTTCTGTCTTGGACATGTTGAGGTCAAGTTGTCTATGAGGCATCTTTGTGGAGATGGTGGCCTGGAGCCTGGGAGAGAGATGAGGGCTAGATGAGTGGAGTCCTCTGTGGAGCTGGAGGAGCTAGTGAGAGGTGACCGTTGAGAGCAGGGTATATGGAAGGAGTTAGGGGACAGTAAAGAGATGGCCTTGTAGTGGTGGGGCCGAGTGGAGATTAGAGAACGCAGCCACCCGGTTGTGCGGGAGGACACGAGGGGGTAGATGGATGGTGGAACCCAAGGTTGGGGATGGGAAAGCGGTAGGGTGGCCTGAACTGGATTGTGGGGAGACAAGAGGGGAAGATGGAGAGTCAGCTTGGAAGGAATGAGACAGGCAGAAAGGGGAGGTTAGTGTTGGATGGAGGAATGTCAGACCACGGAGGCAGAGCACCTGTGGGCGATGGTGAGCCCCTTGGTCTGCGTGGCTTGGGGGGAGTAAGAGCGTAGGTGGTGGAGCTTGAGAAGTAAATGTTGGAGGCAGGTTTTGGATACAGGCCTCCCCAACTCCAGGACCAGCTGGGCTCTGTCACTAGATGGTGCTCTGCATCCTTAGTCTAGAGCCAGGGTTCAAATGCCGGTCACTGCATCACAGTTGGGAAGGACATGAGAGGTCATCGATCAAATGGGAGAATATCTGTAAAGAGTTTAGCACATAGTCGGTGCTTAGTAAATGCCTACTGGGCAGGAATTCCCTTTACAACTCCCTGACAAGCGACTGCTGACTTCTGGCAGCCCTGCCTTTCGGAGGAGCTCTTCCCAATGCCCCAGAGGTGAGCGTGGGTGACCGTGGCATTCGGTCAAATTGGAAAGCTTGTGTGTGTTCTGACGGAGCTTTGCTACTGGCCCTGTTTAGAAGCACCTGCTTTGGGTGTGTCTGCCTGGGTGATCCTGGCCGGTAAGGGTTTCCTTCAGTGTTGGAGAGCAGGAAACAGCCCAGCCTGCTGTCAGCCTGGAGCTTTGGGGCTTCTCTCCAGCCGGCACTGGTTTGGAAGCATGAAGTCTTCCAGAGGCCTGCGCTAATCTTTCCCAGTGGCTACTTTAACATTTACAAAACTTTCTTTTGTAGCAGCTTAGGAAGTGCTAAGATATGTGTCCATCCGTCCCCTGCCCCCCCCCCCTCCCAGCAGTGTTAGAAAGTGTCAGCTCACAGCCCATTCACAGTTTTGGAGGAGAGGATTCTAATCCGTTTGCACATGGGGTTCTTGTCTGTGGTTTCCAGGGTGGTGTGTAAACATTGAATCCCAGCTGTGGGAAGTGTTAGCTCCAGTCAGGTCAGGCTGGGACATTGGCTTCCAGGCTCAACTTGGGTACAGGTTCTTAGCAGTGCCGCGAGAGCTCTTTAACTTCCTTATCTGATGTTCCACTGGACCCCAAATGCGAGGAGTGTTTGTAAAAACTCCACGTTTGCATTTCGAAGCAGACTTTCCTCCATTTACCTTTCTCACCAATGAGCCCTTCACGTGAGCTTGGAGCTCTTCTTACCATCCAGCATTCAGGGACACCGTGGGTGGCAGAACTCTCTCCTCCGCCCAGCAGAGGGCGTGCTTCAGCTGATGCCCCTTCTTGGCTTCACACCCCTGACAGCCCAACTTGTCATCATTAGCTTCCCCCTCTTGGCAAGTCTCAGGTCACCCTGTTTGTGTGTTCTTTGGTCTATGTCCATGGAAAGCCATTTGAATGAAAGCCCCCAGGAGGCAGAAGACAGTACAATGTGACCCAGGAGTTGAAAAATTTAGGGGAAATAGGAGAGTAAGACTCATACACAGATAACAGAAATAGAAAGTAGCACATGTAAGTGAATTAAGAGGGTTGAAAAGGGAGATATTTTGTGAGATCTTTGTGGGAAGGACATGGCTACGTAACAGCGAGTGAAGGACGGTCCAGGCGACTCCCACTTGGATTTCCAAACTGGACATGAAAGAAAATGGACAGGTTTTCTCTGGTGCCTGACCATCCACACACACGTGCATGGGGTGAACTCACCAACTGGTCTTAGGTTCAGGAGGGTTGGCACAGAAGACGATTGTCCCTAAGGCCCCCAAAGATGCAGGGATGGGTCAGGGCAGAGGCTTGTCTCCCCTTGTGGAACCACGTCCTTGCCTCTCCCTGGAGCCCTTCTGAATTACCTGTGTGCCCGCTCCTGGATGGCAGTGACCCCACCAACTCTGATGGCAATGTGGAGGAAGGTTTCCACTGTGACCAGAGGCAGGAAAAACCTGCCCTGCCAGTTCAGCTGTTCGTGTCTGGTGTCTGTCTCCTGTAAGGGACACGGGGTGGCCTGGCAGGGGGCTCCAGCAGCTTTCTAGAGCAGAGCCATGCACAGGAGAGGGGGGCCTGGGCCAAGGAAGCTGGAGCTGCTTTTAGGAATGCAGGAGGGGCCCCAGATGGAGGCTTGTCACTTCTGTACCTCAAGGTGCCCTAGGGTCACCCAGGGCCAATGGCCCGGCTGGCCGGCTTTCCTCCCAAACCAGGCCTCTCGTCTGTTCACCTGCTGCTAAAGCCATCCATCGGTGGTGGGCTGGACCTTGCCTCTGCCTCAGCTGGCCTCTAGCTTAGCTTACTGTGTAGCTGGAGGGAGAGCAAAGGAATGCATGGAGCTTGATGGTTTCTGACATCCCTTCTGGGTCTGAAATTCTGTTACGCTAACTCATCAAAGGAAGTGTTGTTACTTCTGTCTAGTTCAGAGGTGGGGAACCTGCAGCCTCTGAGGCCATACGTGGCCCTCTAGGTCCTCGGGTGTGGCCCTTCGACTGAATCCAAACTTCACAGAACAGTCCCCTTAAGAAAAGGATTTGTTCTGTCAAACTTGGACTCAGTCAAAAGGTCGCACCCAGGGACCTAGAAGGCCACATGTTCCCCACCCCTGGTCTAGTCTGTGTTGAGGAACAAACATCCCAGAAGACCCTGTGGTCTCTTTGGGAAATATTTGGGAAAAGACATTGAACAAAAGCTAATTGCCTGCATGCTGAATACTGTGCTGCTATCTGCCCCAGGGAGGTACTCCACCAAGCTCGGAGAGCTCCCAGCTCATCCTTCTCTACACTTTTGCCCCCACCGGGCTCTGCCTGGTTTGTGTCCATCTCTTCTGAGGCCAATAGGAGCCAGGCCAAAATTTCTCAAGGCCTGCGGGATGTGAGTGTGAATCACCCTTCCTGGCCCATTAGCTGGTGGGGAACAGGAGGGAGGGATGGCTGCAGGCATTGCCCCTGGGCGTCCTGGCTCTGAGGGCTTCTTCTGTGACATTTTCTTTTCTTTCAGTTTTAACTGATGCCTTTTGTCTCTCCAGCTCCCTCTTGACAAAATAAAACGATTCAGCAAGTGTCCCTTTCTTCAGACCATCTTCCGCCCATCCCATGCCAGCCTTCCCCCTCTGGGGAGGCGCGTGCCTCATTTTCTGTTCCCCTGAATCCCCTTGCCCATTACTCAGGGCTGTTTCCTGTTAGTGATCTGTTCATTTACGTTGCTGTAGTGATCTTCAGATTGTATTATTTGGTTTTAAAACACTTCCCGATGTATCCCTCACCTCTCCCTTGCCAGCAAGCCACTGCTTATAACAAATATTGAGAAAGGGGAGAAGGGAGTTCAGCCAAGCAAGCCAAACCTGGAATCACGTCTGACAGCGCGTGTCCTGTTCCACACCCGCAGCCCCCCGCCTTTGCAAAGGAAGGAAGGAGGCGCGTCTTTTCCGTCTCTTCTCTGGGGTCGGGCTTCTTCCATCTACGTGGCAGTCGCTGTGTTTCTCTGTAGACAGTGCATGAGTGAACATGAACAGTGGGATTTGGGAGCTGGCCAGGACCGTGAAGGGTGATCACGTGCCCCACAGCACCTAGGCAGTGAAAGGGGGCAGGCGCGCTGCGCGAAGTTGCCAGCCAGTCTTTGTGGCCAAGGCAGGCTGTCACTCAGTTTCCCCATAAAGGTTGGCCTTCCTCAGGGCCCTTCCAGCTCTCTGTAGCCCTGTGGTCCCAGAAGGAGCAGAGCCTGAGGGTTTTTCTGTGCCTTCTGATGTCACTTGGATTCAGACTCCAAAGGCTAAATCAGCCCCAAGGAATTGGGCCAGGTTGGTCTGCAGGAAATGTGGCCCTGCTGACATCAGGCCTAGATACTCTTCTCCCTGGGGGAGGCTGCATGGAGAGAGAGGCAGAGGGGAAGTGCGGGTTTGGGGGTCACAGAGCCTGGGTTTGAATTCTGCCTTTGCTGCTCACTGCCTGTGTGACCTTGAGTGACCCACCTGCCCCCTGTGGGTCTCTGTAAAAGGAGAGGGCTAGGCCAGCTGAGCTGGGAAGGCCCTTACAGGGCACACCTTATGGTCTGAACAGACCTTTGCTGTTACTCCACAGCGGCAGAGGCGCCCCACAAGGCCACGCGGGCGGGGTCTGCAGACGCTTCCCAGCCTTTTCAGCAGAATGTCAGGTAAGAGGAGGGTGTGGTCGGTGCTCCCTTTCTAACCAGATGGCTGAACTTGGGGCCCGAGGACTGGGGGTTGGTCCAACCCCAGGGGAATGGAAGCCTGGCTTCTAGGCGGTGCCCAGGCCTGGCAGGAGTCCAGCAGGTACCAGACAAGAGCCATGGTGATGAGGGAAGAGACTTGGCTTAATGGGGCCTCCTTCCCTGGCCCAGGGTCCATTTCTTCTTACTCACTCTGCACTCCTGGGACTTTGGCCCCCTTTCCCTCCTGGAAGCCCTGAGAACTCCTCATTTTGGGTAGGCTTTGCCCCACTGGGGCTCACCTGTCCTGCTCATGATGGCAGGTGGCACACCACAAGTGAGCAGCCTGTTGCTCAGCTCCCTGGAGCCTCTGCTTTTTCCCTTCTTGTTTTCTTTGCACACAGGGAGCCATACCCCTCCTGCTGGGGGCCCCTTCTCGGCCCTGACCCCAAGCATGTGGCCTCAGGAGATCCTGGCCAAGTATTCCCAGGTACTGAAAGAAGCCCAGCCAGCTGGGCTGCCTTGGGCGGGGGAGGGCACAGACAGGCCACCCTAACCCTGTGCTTGTAGACTGAGCCAGGATTTGGGGTCATTTCACCGTGGAACTGAGGCAGGATGTCCATGGCGAGGGCTTGGGTCTAAATCCCAGCTCTGACATTTTCTGGCTTTGTGACCTTGAACCAAGGCCCCTTGGCCTCTCAGAACCCAGAGCCCCACTTTACTCAGTTATCAAAAGGAAGTGGTCAGGATGGTACATCCTACCTGTCACAGGAGTTCTGGGAGAAGCCCTTTGTAAGCCTCGGAGGACCCTAAGGGATGGAGATGGGAACTGATAGGAACACAGCAGCCTGGGAGCCTTTTGCCTGGAGGTGGTTCTTGTGTTTGAAGAGGGGGGATGGGCAGGGGTCAGCCCCCAGCTAGGGCCTGAGGGGGACCATGTGGGCAAGGGAGGCCCTTCCTCAGGAGTGCCCCTGCCCAGGACCTGTGGGTCAGGAGTCTCCTCATTTGAGAATGACCAGAGGTAGGAAGGAGCTCCAGGCCCAGCGTTCTGGGGCTCTGCAGCTGCTGGCCTTTGTAGAGCAGGGCAGATGTGGCCCTTCTCCTCTTGTACATGCGGAATCATGATAGAAAAGCATCCCAGAGGAGGTTCTCTTTTTTTTTTTTTTTTCAGGCAAAGACAAGGTTTATTAGAACATCTGTCATATTGAGCAGACTCTTAAGGAGTCTGAACATTAGTGAGCTATTGGCTAGATTCTAAGAATCTGAGCCCCTTAATGGAGACAAGATGGACCCTATATACAGAAAGTCTATGGGGGGGGATCTAGGAGTGGCCAATTAGTTTAGGGTGACTGGAAGAGGGGTCTAAGGAGGATCTGAATGGGAGTGGCCAGTAAACTGGGGTGAACAGGACTCCAGGGACCTGGATAGCTAGGATTAAGGGTGGGAAGTGGCCTGGGGCTTTAAGGGGGTAACAGAATTGGGAGATTGGGTGTAGTCACAATGAAAGGCCAGTAGATGGGATTATAGCCTTAGGCAAACGCCAGATATTTGGCCAAGTGGGAAAGTCCAGGGTTTTTCCTTTCTGGGGTCTAGATCCCAACCTCATCATTCTCCTCTCAAACAAATGGGACCCAAATTCTATTTTGGGTCAAGGGGCGAAGGTCTCGGCTTCTGAAACTGCTTTCAGCTGGCAAGGGGTGTAGAGCTGTCCCTGCCTCGAGGGGGTCCCAAAGAGGAGGTTGACTGGAACCAAGCATAGGCTGAATCCAAGGAACGATGGGGGACAATGGCTGGTACCCGCTGTTTGCTACAAACTGTAGGTGTATGGCTTGCATTCTGGAAGACACAAATCTGAAGAAAAGACTGCAGGGCCCAGATATAAAGCAGGGACTGGATTTAGGGCCCAACTTTGAGAAAATAAAACATCCTTAGCTCTATTTGGAGGCAGATAATTCAGTTTTCCAACCATGCAATATCAAATCCACCTCATAGCCAGACTCAGGAATAGCCAGGTGGGTAACATTCCCTTTCAAAGGAACATAATGGGGCAACTGAGCCAGGAGGATCCCATCTTAGACTGAGGCTGAAATTGTCCTCTTAGCTTTTCCCGATGCTGACTTCCCACCAGTATCACATTCCCAGAGGAGGATTCTGAGGCTTCCCAGGACCACATGGGTAGCTCTTCCTCTGAGCTTCTGGGGGCTCCTGTGGCCTGGTGCTTTTGGAGATCATGATCTCGGTGAAAGTGTGGCCATGTAGCATACAGAATGGGGAAAGAACATTGGCTTCAAAGTCAGAGGACCTGGGTTCAGATGCTGCCTTGTGGACTTACTATGTGTATGACTTTGGGGCAGGTCATTTACCCCATCTAGGCCTGGGTTTCTTCTGTCAAGTGAGAGCCCCAAGGTCCTTCCCATCACCAGACCCAGGTCTCATGAGCTTTTCAATCTTCCTAGATGAGCTTCATTCTTTTCCTTGAATAATTTGAGCAAAGAAAAACATCCTAACCACACAAGAACTTGGGTTTGTTCCCAAGGGGCCTGGACTGCCCTGGAGGCCTTCCCCTTCTCTGGTCTCAGTGAAGGGCAGGAGAGAAGAGGCAGGGACGAGGCCAGCCCCGGAGGCTGGGACTGGACTGAGGAGAGGCTTTGGGTCTGAACGTGTTCCCTGTGGACACTTTACGGAGCCAGCGGCTTCGGTGAGGGTGTGGAGGGTGATGGACTTGAGAGGGGGGTGGCTACTGCAGGGTAAGCAGATGGCGTCTATTATTGTGTCCTGGCTCCTGGTCCTAGAAGGAAGAGCTGGTAGAGCAGCCAGAGTTCCATTACGATGAGTTTGGTTTCCGGGTGGACAAGGAAGGTAAGGTGATCCCTGGGCTGTGGAGGGACAGGCCTGCATCCCAGCTCCCCCGGCACGGGCACCCAGCTTCTGGAGCCCCTGCAGCACTGGCACCGCTGGGCACTTGGAGATCTCCTGATTCCGGGCCCTTTCCCTTTCTTTCCCATTAGTCCATCTGCCTGGGACATCAGAGGTGACAGGAAGAAACTGTCCCTGCTAACCAACCCCTGTGCCCTGTGCCTGGGCTGGGCGGGGAAGGCCAGACAGAGCAGTGCCCACATGCCTGGAGGGCCCTCCTTGAGTCTGGGGGAGGGGGAGGAGGAGAAGAGTTCCCCTTCTTCGCCACCTCTCCCACTGCAGATGGTGCTGACCCCAACTCCAGCAAGTGCCTGGGTGTGCCCCTGACCGAAGAGCCCCAGCAGAGGCTGAGGTGGCAAGCCCACCTCGAGTTCACCCACAACCACGACGTGGGAGACCTCACCTGGGACAAGATCGAGGTGTCCCTGCCCCGCTCGGACAAACTCTATTCCCTGGTGCTGGGCGGCATCCCGCACAGCATGAGGCCCCAGGTAAGGCTGGCCCAGGTGAGGGTGGGTGGGCAACCAGGGCCCCCACCTGCTTGAGCGCTGCCAGCCTTCCCCTTCTGCAGCTGTGGATGCGCCTCTCCGGGGCCCTGCAGAAGAAGCGGAGCTCCGACATGGCCTATCGGGACATCGTCAAGAACAGCTGCAACGACGAGACCATCGCGGCCAAGCAGGTGAGGCAGTGGGGTGGACCGAGGCTCCCTGTGCAGCGGAGGAGGGGGAGGGGAGACAGGCGGTTACGGAGAGATGGGAACATTCTGGGGGGTTGGGGGGAGGCAGGGGTTCTCTGCTGATGGAGTGGGGGCGGGGCGGCTCCCTGTAGCTGTGTCTGAAGGGCCGCTGGGGGGCGGGGGGCCTGGGGTTTCACCAGATCGAGAAGGACCTGCTTCGCACCATGCCCAGCAACGCCTGCTTCTCTACCATGAACAGCGTCGGGGTGCCCCGGCTGCGCAGAATCCTGCGAGGACTCGCTTGGCTCTACCCCGAGATCGGCTACTGCCAGGGCACTGGCATGGTAAGCCAGGGGGAGGGGCTCTGGAGGGGGAGGGGCGGCGGCGGAGGGGGAGCCCCGGGAGCCCCCCTCCAGCCCCGGCCCCGCAGGTGGCCGCCTGCCTGCTGCTCTTTCTGGAGGAGGAGGACACCTTCTGGATGATGTGCGCCATCATCGAGGACCTGGTGCCCGCCGCCTACTTCAGCACCACCCTGATGGGCGTCCAGACGGACCAGCGGGTCCTGCGCCATCTGATCGTGCAGTACCTGCCGCGGCTGGACGCGCTGCTGCTGGAGCACGACATCGGTGAGGGGGCAGGGGCGGGGCGGCTCCCCAGGGTGGGGAGAAGGCTGGGGGGGGGGCGGCTGGCCCGGGGTGGCAGCTGCGCGCCTCTGTCCCCCCAGAGCTGTCCCTCATCACCGTGCACTGGTTCCTCACGGCCTTCGCCAGCGTGGTGCACATGAAGCTGCTGCTACGCATCTGGGACCTGTTCTTCTACCAGGGCTCGCTGGTGCTCTTCCAGACCACGCTGGGCATGCTCCGGATGAAGGTGCCTGCCCCTGCCCACAGGCAGGCAGGGAAGACAGCTGGCCAACTCTTCCCATTGTACAGATGAGCAAACAGGCCCAAGTTCAGTGACCTGCCCAAGGTCACAAAGCAGTGAAGGGTCAGAGTCAGGACTTAAACTCAGGTCTACCCCACGGGGCTCGGTGTGCAGAGCCCGGCTGGCGGTTCTGTCTTCTCCACTCAGTCACTGACAGACCGGGTGACGGGGGGGGGGGGGGGGGGGCGACGGACTCCCAGGAGGTGGAGGCCCTCCTGTACTCCCAGCACCACAGCGGTTAGCGATGACCAGCTCGGTCACCATTTATATGACATTTGAAGGTTTGCAAAGCACTGTCCAAATATCTCCGTTTGTCCTCACAGCTCTGGGAGATGAGTGCTGCTGTTATCCCCATTTTACAGGTGAAAACATTAAGATAGGAGTTGAGTTACATACTCAGGGTCCCACACTTAGTGAGCATCTGAGGCACCATTTGGACTGGCGTCTTCCTGACTGCAGGCCCAGGGCCCTATGAGAAGGTTCAGCTGTTTCTGTGGCCAGCATGGTGGAGCTTCCTTGGCCTGCCTCTCCCCCACGACCCCCAGTAATCAGGGAGACAGGGCCCCACCTTTGCCTTCCTCTCCCTCTGGCCGCAGGAGGACGAACTGATTCAGTCGGAGAATTCGGCCTCCATCTTCAACACACTGTCGGACATCCCTTCCCAGATGGAGGACGCGGAGGTGCTGCTGGCTGAGGCCATGCGCCTGGCGGGCTCCCTGACCCACGTGGCTGTGGAGACCCAGCGGCGCAAACACCTGGCCTACCTCCTCGCTGACCAGGGCCAGCTGCTGGGCCCCAGCGCCACCGGCAACCTCACCAAGGTGACCGAGGACCCGTGGCCTCCCCTCGGGGCCGCCCGCCTGGCTGGTGGTCTGAGCCCAGCCCCTCACCCACTCTGGGCACTTTTCTATAGGTGGTGCGACGCAGAACCCAGCGCAGGAAGTCAGGCATTGCCTCCCTGCTGTTTGGTGAGTCCGGCGGGACGACGGGTCCCTGGGCCAGGAGGCCCCTCGGCCCCTGGAGAAGAGACTGCAGCCTTCACTGCCCCCTCTGTGGTTTCCAGGGGACGAGGACCTTGAAGCTTTGAAGGCCAAGAACATAAAGCAGACAGAGCTGGTGGCCGACCTGCGCGAGGCCATCCTGCAGGTAGCCCGCCACTTCCAGTGTGTGGACCCCAAAAACGGCAGCGTGGTGAGTGGGGGAGGAGTGGGAAGACGTGATGCTGGGGGTCCTCAGTTTCCCCTGGGGAGCCCAGGGTGCTACTTGCCTCTTTGGAGCAGGGCAGAACGTGGGTGGGTTCATGTCCAGTGTCTGGTGCCTTGGGGGGTGTGGGAGCCTCAGACCTGTGCCTGGCAAGGGAGCAGAATGAGGCAGATGCTGGGCCTGGGCAGGAGTGCCTTCCTGTTGGACCTTAGCCCAGTGCCTGGCACCTAGTAGGTGCTTATTAAATGTTGACTTGCCAGCTGATCTCATTGATAGGGGAACTCCCAGATGAGGAAGATCCTGCTACCAATGCAGAGCTTAGTGAGTTGCCTGGGATTTGCTCAGGCTGCCATGGCCAGCACAGATCAAAAGAGGGCCAGCTCTTCCTGGCTGTGTCTGTGTCCCATTGGGGCTACCTCTTCTTTGTGGCCTTTCCAAGTGTGTGCATCTGGAGAAGCCTCTGGCAGGTGGCAGAGAGGGGGAGACGATGTTGGGGATGAGGCACTGGGGAGTTCGGACCATGACTTCCAGCCCTTCTGGGGGCTCTGAACAGGAGCTGACCCCAGACTATACCATGGAAAGCCACCAGCGGGACCACGAAAACTACGTGGCATGTTTCCGCAGCCAGCGGCGCCGGGCGAAGGCCCTGCTGGACTTTGAGCGCCATGATGATGATGAGCTGGGCTTTCGAAAAAACGACATCATCACGGTGCGAGCAGGGGGCGGTGGACGGTGGGCATGCTCCTGGGGGGCTTGGCCCAACCCTTGGGGTGTGACCAGACGCCCTGTCTCCTTCCCCGGTAGATCATATCACAAAAGGACGAGCATTGTTGGGTGGGGGAGCTGAATGGACTGAGAGGTAAGAGCTGCAGGGAGCTGAATGTGGGCCTAGGCTGGCTGAGTGGCTGAAGCACAGGAGCCCTTTCTGCCTTCCTGGAAGGTCAGGGAGATGTGCTCAGAGCTGCGCGGGTGTCTGGGTGCAGCCACCTGCGTGCAACATTGGCCACTGCGGACAGCTCACAGGCCCAGGTCTGTTCTGTGCCTCTCCCACAGGCTGGTTTCCTGCCAAGTTTGTGGAGGTCTTGGACGAACGCAGCAAAGAGGTAAAAGGCCGTGGCCGAGGAGGGGTCATCTCTGGGAGCTCCTCGGCCTGGTCACCAGGGGCCGATCCCTGGGTTTGACCTTATGGTGCAGGAACTAGGGATGCGTGACTGGGAGAGCCTGGGCCCGGTCAACCCCATCCCTTCTTCCCCCTTAGAAAGGTTTCCGGGTCTGAGTCCCGTGGGACGACCTGGGCCTCACCTCCCCCTTCCTCCTCGCTGCAGTATTCTGTGGCTGGAGACGACTCCGTGACAGAGGGTGTCATGGACCTGGTGCGAGGGACCCTCTGTCCTGCCCTCAAGTCAATATTTGAACACGGTCTGAAGAAACCGTCCCTGCTCGGGGGCCCGGGCCACCCGTGGCTGTTTATTGAAGAGGTCAGAGCGGGGCAGGGGCCCCCAGAGGGATCTGGGGAGGGCCTGGGCATTGTCCCTGGGGCTGACCTTCCCCTCCCACCGCCTCTCCCCTCAGGCGGCCGGCCGTGAAGTGGAGCGGGATTTCGACTCTGTCTACTCTCGACTAGTTCTCTGTAAAACCTTCAGGTAACAGCTGTTCTCCCAGGCCTCCCCTCCCCCATGGTGCCCAGCCTGGCAGGGGCTTCTGGGCCCCCTTCCCACGCCAGCACCCCACCCCCTACCCCTACCCCCTGGGCTAATGCTTCCATCTTCTCCAGGTTAGATGAAGATGGAAAAGTCCTCACCCCGGAGGAGCTGCTCTATCGGGTACGTAAGTGACCTGCCGCCTTGGGCCAACGTTCCCTCCCTGAGCAGGGGGGTTGTGGTCTGGGCCAGCCTCCTGTCCTCCTCCACAGGCCGTTCAGTCCGTGAACATGACCCACGATGCTGCCCACACTCAGATGGACGTCAAGCTCCGCTCGCTCATCTGCGTGGGTCTCAAGTGAGTGGGGCGAGGGAGGTGCCAGGGCTGGGGCTGGGCCTGGGGGTGCCAGGAAAGCTCCCAGCCCTGCTGCAGCTCACTCTGCCTCCCTCAGTGAACAGGTGCTGCACCTGTGGCTCGAGGTGCTCTGCTCGAGCGTGGCCACAGTGGAGAAGTGGTACCACCCGTGGTCCTTCCTCCGAAGCCCAGGCTGGGTCCAGATCAAATGTGAGCTTCGGTGAGTGGCCCCCCCCCTCTGGGTGGGCAGGAAGGAGGAGGGGCCGTAGCACCTAGGGGGGCTTCACTTCACTTCTGCCTTCCCTCCCCCCCCCTACCCAGAGTCCTCTGCTGCTTTGCCTTCAGTCTCTCTCAGGACTGGGAGCTTCCCATCAAGAAAGAGGTGAGTGGCTAAGGGAACCGAGCCCCCGTCTTGTCCACAGGCCACAGGGTGGGTCTGTGCCTCTTCTTAGTGGGCTAAGAGGGTTGTGGTCTATTTGCAGGAGAAGGAAAAGAAACCCTTGAAAGAAGGCGTGCAGGACATGCTGGTGAAACACCATCTCTTCAGCTGGGATATAGATGGGTGACCCCCTGGGGGGAGGAGGAGGGCAGAGCCGGCCAAAACCCTCTTTTAATAACAGAGCCAGGGAGGATGAAGCAACAGTGATAGGACCTTTATTCTTTTGGTTTATAAATAAACAGCATATTGTGAAAGCACCTGCTTTTTGAAAAAAACCACACCACACGGCCTCCAGCTCCTGATGCGTCCTTTGGGGGGAGGGTTGGGGGAGGAGTGGCCATTCTTTCTCCTCTGCTCCCCCCCCACCCCCTCCAAGAGGTACCTTGAGGTAGGACATCACCTTAAAGCACTAGTGTGTTTTTATTTATAAAAAAACCAAAAAAACCTTTCCTCCCAGCTGTTCCAACCAAAATCCAGCCCCAGGGGTGGGGGGCAGTGAGGGGACCCTGGGCCCAGCCTGGCTCTGCCCTTCTAGTGTTTGCTGCAATGAGGCAAGTGGACAGAAGACACGGGCATTGGGCCCCAGAGCACCTCTGCCCTCGTGGCACTGATGAGGGACCAAAGGTGCAGGGCTGGGGCACGTCCAGTAAAAAAGCAAGCCTGGGTGAGGGGCTCCCTGGGACACACCCCAGGGGCCGACACATTCACTTGGGGACACGGCCTAGTGGGGAAAGGATATGGAGCCTCAGCCGCCTCTCACCAAAAATAGAGAGACATGTATGTATAGAATATATATATATATATATATATATATATATATAATATTGAGCTATTTACACCTGTACAGAACATTTCTCGTTTGTACAGCCGCTGCACTAGGGCTGCACTAGGGCGGCCCAGGGAGTTTCCTCCCTGAGGAGAAAGGGCTGGGAGCTGGGCAGGCAGGTCTGATCCTCTCCCAGAACTGCCCTGGATAAAAGCATGGCACCTCAGGCCTCAAAAATGGAGGCCACATAGCAACTTCCCCAGCCTGGCCCGACGCCCCCAGCTGTGGTCCCAGACAGGAGGGGGTAGCCGGCCGGGGGAAGAGGCCGATGGCTGCCCACGGCGCCCGCTTCCAGGGCAGTCGGACCATCCCTTTCTTCGTCCCTGGAAGCTGAAGGCTACAAGCAGGAATCCCAGTGTAGGTGCAGATCATGGCCATCCAGGAAGTCTGTGGAGAAGAGGCTGGGGGTCATGTTGCTGGGGGGCGCCAGGCTGAGGACAGGCCCCCCCGACAGTTCTAGCCAGTCCATGCTGTCCAGGTGGCCCTCAGCCAAGTCCAGACCCAGGCTGGTGCTGGGCTCGTGGGCAAAGTGCAATTCAGAAGTATCCATGGGAGAAGGCGGGTGGTCCAGGATGGCGGAGCTGCTCAGCATCTGACTGTGCAGGTCATCAATGAGGGACAGGGGCTCGGGTCCTTCCTGCCCCCCTGTCAGCAGGGGCAGCCCCGTGCTGCTCTCCAGAAAGTCTTCCAGGCGGCCTGGGGCAGGGCTGGTACCCAGGGGCAGGGGTAGCTCCGGAGGAGGCTGGGGGGTCGCTGGCGAAGGGCAGGGCAGGGCTGGGCTCGAATCCTTCCCAGGTGAGGGCGAGGGCTCCTTAAAGTCAGCTGAAATTTCTGCCAAGAAGACGAAAGGAGTCAAGGAGCTGGAGGCAGCCAGTCTGCTCACTGAGAACTAAGCTGTGGCCCAGATTGCGCCCCCCCCATCCCCTGGGGACCCAGAGTCTGAAGGACAGACCCCAAGCTAGCCACGCCCTCACCTCCACTCTGAATAAGAATGTCAAAGAGATCGTCCATCTGCTGGCTTGAGGAACCGTTTTCCTGAGCAGAGAAAAGGGAAACAGTGGAAACGTGTGGCCTGCTGGGCCAGGCTCTGGGCCCCGTCTGTCCCTGTGGCTGGCGCCTTCCTTGGCCCAGGGACTCTGCCCCCACCCCTGCCGGATCTCTCCGGCCCGTGTGCACCACCACTCACCTCCTGGGGCCTGGGCTGCTGCTTCACAGCCTCATCATAGCCAGGGGGCTCTTTCTTCACCAGGGTGGGCAGGGGGTTGGCCCCAGGAGCTGCCTCAAACAGGGCCTGAGGCTGGTGGTCCAGCTCCATCTGGGAGGTCTGGAGGGTCACTGGGGAACTGGGCTCTGAAGAGGGCTGGTAAGACGAGAGGAGAGGTCTGTGAGGAGAGGGCAAGCCGAGCGTGGCCTTGGAGGCGGGGCAGATGGCTCCTTGGGAAAGAAGGGGCACGTACCTTCTTGGGCAGGCTGCTGGGCGTGGCCACACTTGCTTTCAAGGCAGTCTTGTGGAAGCCATTTGGAAAGAATGACTGCAGGCCAGGGGGGACTGAGAAGGGCAGGAGCGGGGAGGGTCCTGGACTGGGCGGACCCTGCAGATAGACAAGGAGAAGGGTCAGCAACACCTCGGCGATCCAGAGTCACGTGCCTACGTCTGCCCGTCTTGGCCCCCGAGCAGCAGCTGGGGGGTGGCGGGGGACGCAGAAAGGAAGATAAACACTAATTAGAAGTCAGCTAGGCCAAGCCCTCATTTCAAAAGCGAGGAAAATGAGTCCAGATTCAAGCATAAATTGTGGCCAAGATTTGGGCGGCCCTATAGAAGTTTGCTCAGCGTCCCCATTAGCAGGCCCCACACTGCCAAGCTCCTTGGGATCGGGGCCCCCTAGCTGATGGAAGAAAGACCACACAAGGCAGGGCGTCTAATGAAGGGAAGGGGACGAGGAGACACTGGCCGTAACCGCATCCTCCAAAACCATACTCTAAAGGGCTGGGGACAGCCTGAGGCCAGCCTGTAGGGAGAGGCCTGAGCCACCTCTGCAGGCACATAGGGGCTAATCCTTCCACATCTGTCAGGAGCTCCTCAGTGCCAGACAACGTGTGTACAAACGAACAACGTGCAGAATAGACAGGAAGTCCAGCGGAGGCAAGGCCTGGAAATCCCAAGGGACTGGCCAAATCTGACTGCCACTTGCAGGAAGCCAGGGAGAGTGTCCCAGGCCTAGGGGGCAGTCAGAGAGAAGGCCTGGAGCCAAGAGATCGGGAGTCTTGTTCAGGAAGAGCCAGGAGGCCGGCATGTCAGAAGACTGGAAACTGAGGAAGGGGCCAGTCGTGAAGAGCTTTGACTACCCAACAGCATTTCGTATTTGCTCCTGGAGTGTCAAGTGACAGAGAGCATTGGAATTTACTGAGTAGGGGGTGACATGGTCAGACCTGAACTTTAGTGACTGGATGGACTTGAGGCACGTAGCACCCCTCCACCCTCAAGCAGGCTACCACTGTCCAGGCGTGAAATGACGAGGGCCTGCACCAGGGCGGGGACAGGGTCCGAGAACATGCTGCAAAGTCAAATCAGCAGGCTCTGGCACCACACTGGATGGGGGAGGGGCAGAGGGGGAGACTAAGGAGTCCTGTATGACTCCAAGGGTGGGAGCCTGGGGTGGGGAGGGGGTAGATCCCGATGGCCGTTTTAGACACGCTGAGTTTCCGACGTCTGCTGGACATCCAGTCCGAGATGTCTGAAAGGCAGCCGGCGGTCAGTGAGAAGCTACAGGAGCCAATGACCTCGCTCCATGTGCCCAGGACAGAGCCCTGAGGCCCTCCGGGTTAGAGGAAGTGGTCTGGAGGAGGGCGCAGCAGACAAAGGACACTGTCCTCAGGAGGCAGTCAGAGGTCATCCCCGTAGGACCGACCTGCTGAGCTCCGAGGAGACTCAAGTACGCCCTGGTCTCGAAGAGCTCTGACCTCCCTGCCCCCTGACCTCCGGCCCCACAGAGGAGGGGAGGGGACCAAGCTCTCACCTGGGAGGGGCTCTGGCCGCTGCCAGTTTCTCCAGGCTCGTCCTCAGCCGAGTCCTGCGTGTCCCGCTTGGTCACGGTGAGGACGAGGTGAGTGCCGGTGGCATCCGTGATGAGCGCCGGGGGGGGCCCCGGGAGGAGACCGCTCAGCTCTGGCGCCAGGAGGCAGCTGGGAGGCTCGTCCTCAGGCACCGCCTCCTGTTTCACCGTCACCGCCAGCACCGGCGTGGCGCCGGGCTCCACGGACGGCCCCGTGAGCTGGCAGCTGGAGAAGCCGTCCTCCTGCTTCACCTGGGCCAGGAGGGTGGGCGGCGGCGGGCGGGGGGCCGCCTGCTGGGCGCGCTTCTCTTGCTCCAGCTGCAGCCTCAGCATCTCCACCAGCTGCTGCTTCTGCTTGAGCATGCGCGTCAGCTCCTCGATCTGCTTATCCTTCTCCTGCAGCATCTGGTCCTTGTCGCGGCTCTCGAGGTCTCGGCCGCAGCGCTCGGCCCGGGCCACGGGGCTCTCTTCCTTCACCAGGATCTGCACCGGGGACGCCTGCAGGGTGAGCTGTGTCAGGGGCGAGGTCACCATCTCCCCAAAGGCATCGCCGCCACCGCCAGTGGAGTTTTCATCACCCGTGCTGAGCAGGGAGCGCTCCGAGGGCGTAGGGGACACCGGGGGCGTCGAGCCCGTGCTGCCAAACTTCACCATCCCGTTGCTGGTCACGGTGGCCACGACGACCTCGGTGGGCGCCAGGCCCGCGGCCATCAGGGCGGGGCCGGCACTCAGTCGGGCCGCGGGGAAGGCCACCACCACTTCCCCGGCTTTGGCGAGGATGGGGGCGGCCCCAGGCTTGGGGGCTCCGGAGGCAGGGCCGGGGACCCCCGCGTGCTCTTGGTAGGCCCGGAGGCGCTCGATCAGGTCTGTCTTGGTGCCCGAGACGGGCAATGCTCTCATCTTCAGCTCCTGCTTCAGCTCAGCCACCTACATGGACCACAGGGAGAGGGTCACCAGGAGGTCCTGGGCAGCAGCAGCTCCCAGGCAGGACAGCTGTGGCTCCCGTGCCAAATGCCAACAATGTCCCACAGCACCTTCCATCTATCACTCCAAGAAGAGAAAAATGCCACTGTCCCATAGGTGCCATCTGACCCTCACCTGGCAGGTTGTGTTTGTAATGCAGGACAGACAGAACCCCTAAAAGCTGGAGCCAACAAGATGAAGTGGATGGCCTGGATCTGAACCTCTGCTCTGTCTTTCATGTGCCATGCTCCCTCCCCAGGCTTCAGTTGGCCACAATAAAAATAGGGAGACATGGAGCTGGTTTAGGGGGGCTGCTGATCAAAGCTGAACATTTTGTGGTTAAAAAGTGGGTTCTTTCATCCTGCAGACCAACGAAAGGGAACAGATGCCCTCCCCAACACCAAGAACACTCTCTGGAGAAGAGCCTGGGACCAAGGCTTCCCCACCCACGCAGGCCCTGGGGCAGAGGCAGGGGCTGAGGCTGGAACTAAAGAAAGGCGAGAAGAGAACTTTACCTTCATGTCATCCAGGTTGGAGGGCAGTGGGCCCAGTTTGCCAGTCACGGAGTTCTGGCGCACAAGGCCAGCGGGCCCAGGTGGGCCAGAGGCCGAGCTGCCCAGGGCAGCAGGGACAGCACGCAGGGAGGCAGGGCTGCTGCTACCTTGGGGCTCACCCACGGGCCTGGGGGCAAGGAGAGAGTCAGAAATTAAAACCTCCCAGACGCCAAAGCTCCCCCTGGTTCCTCTCCTGGGCAGTGCTGGGCACAGCCACACCATGTGGCAAGAAGGGGCCCAGAGCTGGCCTGCGGGAGGCTCAGCAGGACTTCCGACCTCCCTCCCCCACAGGCCTCACAACCCAAAGGTGGCGCTGCGAGGGCTGCTGCCTGGAGGGCAGCCCTGGCAGGGGGCCTTACTTGGGCGGGGCAGGTAGGATGGTCTGGTAGTTGTAATGCTGCTGCTGCTGGTTGAGAATCTGGAGCTGGAGGAAGAGCTGCTGCTGCTGCAGGATCTTGGCATAGGAGGAGTCCATGGGGGGCGCCCCCTTGTCCTGCTTCTGGTCAGGGGGGATGTACTGGTGGTACTTGAGCTTTTTCACTTTGGGCTTCAGGTCCTTGGCTTTCTTGCTGCGCGGGGGCTTCTCCCCCGGGGCCTTGGGTTGGCTTTGCTAGCAGCAGAGCAGGAGAGGGGAGGTGCGTGAGCCCAAGCCCACTCTGTCCTTTCCACCCCACGCCTGCCAAAGTCGGCTCTGAAACCGTCTAAAGGACTTCAAGGAGCGGATGGGCCCACGAACCCCCGAGCTGTGGCAGGAGGGAAGGCATGGAGGTGAAAGCCACAGCACTGCCCTCAAGGGGATGACAGTCTAATGAAGGAGAGGTGGAGATGCAACTATGATTCAGTCCTAGCAGAGTTCAGAGGAGCCCAAGAGTTTCCAGAAAGGTGTTACTTTTGGCGGGAGCCATCACAGGAGACTTCAAAGAGAAGGCAATGCTGACGGAAGGGGCTGTGGTGGCCGAGGCACCAAGACGGCAGGAGGAGGGCAGGGGGGCTGCGACAAGGCCGGCTGAGCTGGAACACCCAGTGTAAGGCGGAAGTGAAAGTGCCAAAGGCTCCATCAGAGTCTCCCCCTACCCACTCTACCATCAAAAGGAGTCCAGGTGCCTGAGTGTGGAGGAAGAACAGAGGCCTAGGATGACACGGGGTTAGAAGCTGGAGAACCAGGTGAAAGGCAGGAAAGAAAGAGGGAAGGAAAAAGGGGCAGGTTGAAGAGAGAAGGTACAGCTCAGCTTGGGACCTCATGCCAAGGGCCAAGGATCAGCAGGACATCCAGGGAGAAGGGCAACCGCAGCCATTAAGGGATGCAGGCCTGGAGATCACAAGAGGGGCCAGGATGGGCCACGTGAACTTGGGAATTCATGTTCTCTGTATGTGCCCAAGTGATAACTGAGGGCCTGAGAACAGATGAGATTGCCCCTCAGGGAGAGATCATGGAGGGAAGGCACAGGGCCTCCTGACAGGCACCCAAGAGATCACTCATTGGGGGAATCAGTGGTGCAGGGTGGGAGACACTTCTCCCGCCTCCCACTACATTACAGCATCAGTGGCCAGGGAAGGCAAAGGAGATGGGCTGCAGGACCCAAGCACAGGGCAAAGGAATCTGGAAGGAACAGGATGGGTAAAGACACAGCTGCCAAGGTAGAAGGGAAAGGACCCAAGACCACTATGGTTAGATTACAGGCTATCGGGGACTTCTGTCATCAAAGCCAACTCATGCCAGGGCCAGGCTTGTGGGCAAAGGTCTGAAGTGTTTGTAGGGGGAGATGGCTAGTCCAGGAGGGGGGAGCTGCTTGGAGGTCATCTGGCCATACTCAAGAGCAACCTCCTCCACAAAAATCACAGACCAGTGGTCATTTGGCTAACTGAAGGCCCCCAGTCACAAGGAGTCTTCTACATCCAATGCAGTTCACTCCACTCTGGGCAGCTCTAATGGTCAGAAGGTTTTTCCTTTCAGCCTAAGTCTGCCTTTCCGCAGCATCCTCTATTGCTCTGAAATTTGTCATCTGGAGCCAAGTAGAACACAAGATGACCTTGAACTTCTCAGTAAATAAGAAGGGCCAATGTTATCTACTGAGCACACAAGGGATTAAGGAGTGTGCAAATTGTTGGGCAGAATTCTGGTGGGCTGTCAGTGAGAGCTACTGTGAACAGGCAGCAGCCCCAGAGCATGAGTTAATCAATAAACACACTGACTAGGTGCCAGGCTCTGAGCTAAGCGCTGGCGTTACAAAGAAAGCCCAAAGACAGTCCAAGCTCGCAAGGAGCTCACGGTCTGAGTGAAGAGACAACATGCCCACAACTAGGTATGACAGGATACAGACAGGATAAATAGCAAAGTATCACGGGGGAAGGCACTCTCATTAAGAAAGGATTGAGAAAGACCTTCCCATAGAAGAATTTTAGTTGAACGAAGTCAGGAAAGCCAGGAGGTGGAGATGAGGAAGGGGAGAATTACAGGCATGGAGGACAAAGACTGTCTGGAGCTGACAGAGTATCTTGGGGGAGGAACACCCAGGAGGCCAGTGTCACTGGATCTCAGAATGGTTGTATGGTTGTAAGAGAAAGGCGTGGGGGGCGGCAGTTTATGAGCACCTAGATGAATAGAGCACTGGGCCTAGAGTCAGAAAGACCTGAGTTCAGAACCAGGCTCCGACACTTACTAGCTGGGTTATCACTGTGGGCAAGTTATTTAACCTCTATTTGTCTCAGTTTCCCCATCTATAAAATGGGGATAACAACAGCATCTGCCTCCCAGGGTTGTTGTGAAGATCAAATAAGATAACTGTAAAAGCACTAGCACAGTCCCTGGCACATAGTACTATATAAATATTAGCGATAATGACGTTGATGACAATGAAAGGCTTTGAATATCAAACAGAGTACTTTGTATTTGTTCCAAGAGACAACAGGGAGCCACTGGAGTTTACTGAGTTGCAGTGACGTGATCAGACCTGTGCTTTGGTGGCTGAATGGAGGACAGTCTGGAGAGGGGAGAGATTTGAGGTGGGCAGACCCACCTGCAGCTACTGAAATAGTCCAGACATGAGGAGATGAGAGCCAGCAGCAGGGTTGGGGCATTGTTAGAGGAGAGACAGGGGTATATTCTGCAAAGGTCAAATGGACAAGAGATGTAAAATGGACCAGAGATGGTGCAGAGGTGAAATGGACCAGGGGGGCTGCAGAGGTGATATGGAGGAGAGATGCTGCAGAGGTGAAATGGACCAGAGGGGCTGCAGAGGTGAAATGGACCAGGGGGGCTGCAGAGGTGATATGGACCGGGGGGCTGCAGACGTGAAACGGACCAGGGGGGCTGCAGAGGTGATATGGACCGGGGGGGCTGCAGAGGTGATA